CCCCCTCCCCAACGGCTCGGCGTCCCTGCCTCTCTTCTTCTCCCTCAGGGAATGAACTGACGGCTGGGCGGCTGTCAGGTGACTTGGTCATGTGAAAGGAAACGCCTGGCCCAACCCCCCCTCCCCTGGCGGGATCCGGCTCCTCCTTCTCGTTCTCTGCCGCTGATAGGCTGGGGCGGGGGCTCGTCAAATGCGCTTCCGGCCAGTCGCGAGGCCGCTCTGAGCACGCGCTTGTCTATGGAAAAGACTGCGAACATTCGCATGAGGGAACGGGGGGGGGGAAGGGGAAACGCCCGGATAGGCCCAAGTCTCGGTGACCAATCAAGCATTCAAATTTAAAATGTTTCTTTTGGGATTTGTTAAAATCTTCTCAACGGGAGGGAGATGGGAGAAAAGTTCGCGCCAGGTCGAATAATCTCTAGGGTTCTCTCCAACACACACCCCCCGCGCGCGTCTTGATCTATGGATTGTCCCCGCTCTGCTAGTTACGTGGCCGATCCTCCCCGCTCTCACTGCGCAGACTCCAACCCACCCCGAGCGACTGCGCATGCTCTTCTTCCCTTACTGGCAGTGACGGCAGCCGCTGCCTTCCCTTGTTCCCACGAGATCCGAGGGCGCATGCGCGTCGTCCCCCTCTTCTCACTTCCCCCCACCCAGCCGCGCAATTTTCTTTCTCGCTTCAGTTTCTCCTCAGAGGGGTCGCCAAAAATAATAAAAAAAGGCGGGAATCGTGATCTTGGCCGCCGAGAAGCCCCAAACCAAGGGCCTGGGGGGCGCCATTGAAAGCTAATAACATGTTAATAGCTTAATTTTATTATGCAAATATAATATAGTGTATAGGGTGAGCAATTTCCCCCCTTTTTTTTTTCCTTTTCTGGGACTCATCCAGAATCTCCTGAGGGCAAAAATCCTGGAAGATTTAGGAAGCCACTTCTGTGAGAGACATGGAGGTGGAGGGAGAGTTTAAAAGCCTTAAATGGGCTCCAAGGCTTGGTCCTTCTGGTCTCGAAAGGCCAGGAGAGGGAAGGAGGTCTTCTGCTGTCATCCCCTCCCCTGCCCCCTTTAAAAAAAAAAAGCATTTCCAGCTAAAAGTGCAGAAAAAGAGAAAGCAAAGCCAAAAAGCAAAGAGGGCTGCTTTTATGCTGCCTCTTCCCCCTCCCCCAGGGCTTCATACATTCCCTGGGTGGTTTGCAATCTCATTCTGCAAACTACACATTGTGTCTTCTTCACCCCACCCCACCCCCGCCTCCAGCAAGGTGGACACTCAGTTTCTGGACCTCAGAAGGATGGAAGACGGAGTGAACCTTTGAGCCCGCTCCCTGAACTGATTGGACTTGAACTCGTGTCATGAGCAGAGTCTTGACTCCAGTTTAACCACTGCATCACCAGGCTCCTAAAATGTGTGTTGTTTTTTACCATCACTACACAAAAATTGGAGGTTGTTCATGACTTTGTGTACCTTTGCTCAACAATCTCTGACACTCTGTCCCTAGATGTCGAGCTGGATAAACGCATTGGGAAAGCGCATTCTCTAGACTCACAAGGAGAGTATGGCTGAATAAGAAGCTGACGGCATATACCAAGATCCAGGTCTATAGAGCCTGTTTCCTGAGCACACTCCTGTCCTGCAGGGAGTCCTGGACCCTTTGTGCATGGCAGGAGAGGAAGCTAAACACCTTCCATATGCGTTGCCTCCAACAGATTTTTGGTATCACCTGGCAGGACAAAGTTCCAAATAGAGTAGTCCTAGATCGAGCTGGAATTTGTAGCATGTATACATTACTGATACAGTGACGTCTACTTTGGCTTGGCCATGACATGAGAATGGCTGATGGTTGGATTCCAAAAGTTCTCCTGTATGGAGAATTAGTGCAGGGAAATCGCCCCAGAGGGAGACCACAGCTGAGTTACAAGAACAGCTGCAAGTGGGATCTGAAGGCCTTAGGAATGGACCTGAACAGATGGGAAACCTTGACCTCTGAGCGTTCAGCCCGGAGGCACATGGTGCCTCATGGGCTGTCCCAATTTGAAGAGACCCTTGTCCAGCAGGCCGAGGCAAAGAGGCAGACCCAAAAACAGCAAAACCAGGGAGCTGGAGAGGGGACAGATTGTATTTGTCTTCAGTATGGAATTGGCCTTCTCAGCCACACGAGATGCTGTTCCAAGTCCTCCATTTAGAGCACGTGACCCTCATCCCTCGAGACTGAAGGATGCCAAAGGTAAAGGTTCCCCCTGACATTTAGTCCAGTCGTGTCCGACGCTGGGGTGCGGTGCTTATCCCTGTTTCCAAGCCGTAGAGCCAGTATTTGTCCAAAGACAGTTTCCATGGTCACATGGCCAGCACAACTAGACACTGACCGCTGTGACCTTCCCACCGAGGTGGTACCTATTTATCTACTCGCATTTTACATGCTTCCGAACTGCTATGTTGGCAGGAGCTGGGACAAGCGTCGGGGGCTCATTCACTGTTGCGTGAATTCAATCTTACGATGGCTGGTCTTCCGACCTTGCAGCACAGAGGCTTCTGCAGTTTAACCCGCAGTGCCACCACGTTGCTTTTTTTTTTTTTTTTTAAGCAGAGACCAGCAGAGGGCTTAAAGCTTTTTCTGAGCAGTTTACAATTTAATTATGCTGGATACTGAATTTACTGCCATCAGAGGGGTGGAAAGCTGAGTCAACCTTGAGCCGGCTCCATGAGCTTGTCAGGTTGTGAGCAGAGTCTTCATTGCAGTTTAAGTATAGCACCAGAATAAAGCATAGACACCTTGTTTAAAGAGTCCTAATTACAGATCAAAGGCACACGGAGGGAAAGAGGAAGCACCATAAACCGCCATCAGGAAGCTTCAGTGGTTTGTTGATGGTCAGAAACATGGCTGTTGGTCTCCTTGTTTGGTTTGTTTATCTCTTCTGCATTGCTTCTCTCTTTCTGCACCTCGTCCGGGAGATTCCTTGGCTGTGACCTCAAGATTATTAAGATAGACATTGCTGCTGGACTTTCTCTTAGACTTTCACGAACCTTTGCTCCTCAACAAGCCGACAACCAAAATTCAGAGAGAAAACAACTTTCCAATGTGCACTGAGCTTCTGAGGGAATTATATGATGATGAAACATCGTATTAAAACAGTTAATAAATGGCAGTGCTCTCGCTCTACTGCAGTGTGAATTGGGCAGAGATGGGGTGCAAACAGACAGGGAAATACTTTGCATGGTGAATGAACCACTTGTGACAATCACA